ACCTACGACTGTAAGAAACCATGTATTACGCCTTTTACAACCACTTAAAATGTTGTTTAATTTAGAGGTTAAGGGTTTTTTTGAAGGTAGTATGGCAGATTGTTACTAAAACTCAAGTATCCCGAATTAAAATTAATATATATATATTATATGTGTATTATGTGTGTATGTGTGTACCTGCATCCGAACCCCCTGGTGGGGGCCACCCCTTAATTCAGCCACTGGTTCAGTAGGTAACTGAAAAATGCAAAAAGTAGGTATGGTTATATTATTTTTTTGTTTTATTGTTTTTTTGGGGTTTAATTGCATATTCTAAAATCTAAAGCATAATATTTTTCCAAAAAGATTCTGAGGATCACTCAAATTATTGATATATAACTCCAATAATTCAATCTTATCCTTGGTCTTCAATTATTGGTTCTTTACATTTTACATTAGTGTACCCATCGATACTTTAAAGCACACACAAGCGAAAATGTTCACTTTTTGAATGCCGTGATATTGATACCTATATCCAATATTATGAACTTGTCATCGGAAGCAGAATCGATTGCACACTATTATTATATTATTATGCCCATACACAACATAACTTATTTTCACAAAAATTACAAAAAGTGGATACAGTACTTGTGTGCTTATTAATGTATACCAATATTATCAGTAACATATATTTACATAAAATACTAAAACAATAAATAAACTTAATTTAGTTCTATTATTGATGTAGATACCATATTGGTACATTAATACAAACGTATGGATTTAAAATAAAATATATATTAATTTTATACATTGTTATTTATTACTTGACCATTTACTGACATTAGGACTATTATTATTATTGAATTACAACTATCTAACCCAGTGGTTCTCAACCTTTTTTGGTTCACGGCACACTGTGGTACATCACAAGTTTTCACGATACACTCACGCACTTGACAACCACAACATATTTGGCAACTTCGGCGAAGACATTAGGTTATCGCCACGCACCTAAATATGTATGACATTTCTCACGGCACATCTAGTCGATCTCGCGGTACAGTAGTGTGCCGTGGCACACCGGTTGAGAACCACTGATCTAACCTTTAAGCAGAACTCTTTTAGATTAGTTATTTTGAAGATAGGGCCATACACCGAGACCGAGTGAAAAAGTGGTATAATAAATCATTGTTTATATAATGTTTGCCATAATCAACTATTCAACTAGCAAAATAAATACAAAAGTTTTAAATTTACGGTATGATATAAAAAGAACTCAATTTATAAAAAGTTTATAAATTGGTAGAAACAACGTATTTACAATTTTGTACTTAATTTATTTCTTATTTATCGATTTAGTTTTTAATGAGTATAACGTAGCTCGGGGGCCTAATGAATCTGGTAACTTTTACACCGCAAACAAATTGCAACGTTGTGGTCGTTGACAGCGCTTATATTAAACTTTAAGCGACAGTGAAAACTTTTTAATATTGGCTAATATAAAATATTTTGTCTTCAAGTATTTGCATTTTATGTAAAATTCAAGGCAAAATAAATTTAATAAATTCGTACAGTATGATGAAGCGATTTAATAAAAAATTTGTCTTGTCTTAGTGAATCAATACAATATTATAATTAACGACTTTTTTGAATTGTATTCATTAAATATGTGTTTAGTGTTTTGTTATTTTACATTTACGTTTTTGATTATGTTATGGATAACCGCATACCTACATAATATAATAATACATAGTGCTAACTCAAAAACAAATAACCGTAGATACTTGGAATTTTTGCCAAATGTTTATGTTAGTATTTTCTGTACACGATATACACTTGGCGTTGTCCAAGTAAGTCTGCAGCGATGTTCGGCATCGAACTAGAACGGCGTCTCCGCGAGATCGCGGCTTCACTGCTGCACGTCCGCTTCTGCCAGCCTGCGAACATGCAGCGGCGACGAGACGTGCGACGACGAGACGGGCGGCGTCTCGATCTTGACTTCGGTGGCCACAGTCGTCATTGTTGCCGTGTTAATCGATGAAATATAGTAACGGAATTTAGGACTGGTATAATTTGCCACGACCATTTCGGTGGGCCCTCTTATAACGATCCGACCGAAACAGTTTGCACCGAGTCACCGGCAGACGGCGAATCAATCGACATCGGATGAAACAAATATTTTTTTTTTAACTTTAATTACCTTGAGTAATTACCAACATTATTAATATTTAATTACAAACATATACTTATAGTCAAGTAATACATACTTAAAATTTAGAAAATGTTCAATGTTTGTAGCTAAAGATTTAAAATTAGAACTTTTGTGAACCTAATGTGAATTTTTTTTCAAATTATTATTTTATTTTTAAAGAACTTTTCTCAAAGTTGAATATTTACGAATTAAATACCCCTTAAAATGACGCCCTTGGCCACCAATAATAGTTGATAATTAGTATTGTTGTATGTTTGTTATTGAATTATTTATTTATTCTACATACTTAACCAACTATCAAGCAAATAATTTGAAATTATGTTTTATGCTTTTATGTTACGGCCGAAAGTATTTTAACCGACAAACATTATATCTGACAGTAATTTAGCCGACAAATATTTGCGCCTACAGTATTTTAGCCAAATATAATATACCGGTTACTGTTATCATATTTTTTTGTTTTTTTTTATTTTTAGAAGAAAATATACAATCTATACCTAAGTACCTAACTAAGACATAATAAGTATATGTGCGAAAAGAACTAAAGAAGGAAACAAACAATAACATGATACATAAATTTGAGGAAAGAAGCCACCCTGCACTGATGACACTTTCAACTTGTTTAAATCTAGTGTGATTTAATTATATGGGTAGATTTTTATTTTTTTTTATTTTTATGTTTATGTTTAAAGTAATAAATCTCTGCACAATCTACGTTTAAGTCACCTTGGAGGGCTGCCTGGAATTGTGAGAGATGATAGGTTTTTGATGAGAGGATTTGAATGAGAAGATAGGCGGTTATGAAATTTTTTATAAAAACGTTTAGCAGTTTAGCTTCGTCATGAATAGTTTTTAAGTTACAATCTATATGTAGTGTATGGTTTTATATGTATGGAGGGGCGTTAACTAATTTCCTTAAGGTTATATTTTGGAAAGCTTGTATCTTAATCAGATTTGACTTTTTAGCATTTCCCCATAGCTGCAATCCGTATGTCCAGATAGGTTTTAGTAGGGTTTTGTACATGAGGAGTTTGATATTTATAGGGGTGGCTTTGTTACCAATTAAATTCTTAAGTATACGTAGTCGATTGTTTAGGGATAGTCTTTTTTCACGTACGTGTTGAGCCCAGGTTAAGCGTTGATTGAGTGTTAGACCAAGATATTTTACTGAGGATGATGGAGGGATAGGGATGCCATACATTAGTACATTTGGGCAGGGTGCTTGTCTAAGTGTAAAAGTAGTGTGTACAGATTTATTTTGATTTACTTTAAATTTCCATTTAGTATACCATCTTTCCATCAAGCCTAGATGATTTTGTAAATGTAAGGAGGCCAAGGATGGGTCGTCATTAATCGAAATAATCACTTTATCATCCGCGTAGTCCGTGACTGAGGTGTTAGGTAATGTGGGTTGGTCAGAGACAAAGATGTTGTATAGTAATGGAGATAAAATACCACCTTGAGGAACTCCAGCATTTATACTTGCTATTTCAGACGTGGCAGTCCCATAGGAAATTTTAAAAGAGCGATCAGCGAGATAAGATTTGAAAAGTATGAAGTAGGGTGTAGGTAGGAAGGATTTCAATTTATATATGAAACCTTGATGCCAAACACGGTCAAATGCCTGCGAAATATCTAAGAAGGCACAAGTGCAATATAATTTTTTTTCGAGAGAGTAGGAAATTGCATCTACCAACCGTTGGACTTGGTGAATGGTTGAATGCGAGGTACGAAAATCAAATTGATAATCGGGGAGAATTTGTTTTTCAGCGATGATTGGAGCGATACGTTTGAGCAAAAGTCTTTCTAAGATTTTTGCAAAAAAAGGTAGGAGACTTATTGGTCTGTAGGAAGAGGTAGAATCAGGGGGTTTATTTGGCTTTTGGATCATGATTATATTTGAAAATTTCCAAAGCAGTGGAAAATATGAGAGTCTGAGTATTGAGTTGTATATATGAGCTAGATGAACAATGGCCCTTTTCTGTAGATTTCTGGCAACTTCTGCCGTAATGAGGTCAAAACCAGGTGACTTATTGCGTGGGTATTTATGTATGAGATATTTAATGTCATTAGGTGAGAAAGATCTAACTGAGGCGAGGGTTGAAGAGGAGCATTAAGAGCCGTATTCACGATAGTTATGTTTTCTAAATCTACAATATCTGAGTGTGGTTGGAATGTCTCAGAGAGGTGTAGTTTGAACAACTCAGCTTTTTCTGTATCAGAGGTGGTAAGACTCCCGTCTAATTTTTTTAATGGTAGATTAGAAGCTTTATAGCGTAGGACTTTCTTAGTAGTTTTCCAAAGACTGCCATCTTTTGGAGAAAGATTGGTTAAATTACGAGTGAGAACTGTGTCCTTGTGTTTAGCGATCAGTTTTTTTAGTGAGTTTGCTAAACGGTTATAATTTTTTTTATGAGAAGGGAAGCGAGTACGTTGGTAAAGAGCTCGGGCTCTGCGTTTTTCAACTATTATAACTCTTAACTGTTCTGGAATGGGATTGTATTTAGGTGAAAGTAAGTTAGTGTTAGTAGCAGTCCAGGCAGCAGTTTGAATAATTTTCGTTAGATTATTCACTGCGAAATCAATATCATCAGGCGTTTTTAGTTTGATGTTAAATTTAATATTTTCATCAACAGTTCCTTGGAATTTTCCAAGATCAGTGTAACGGTTGAAGAGATAAAGGGGAGCTTGGTGCATCGTAGGGAAAGCATTAAGAGTAAATAGAACTGCTGAGTGATCAGAATTTAAGTCAAGAAGATTTGAAGTGTGGCAGAGTATATGATTGGGTATTTTTGTTACGAAGATGTCCAGTATGTCTGGGTTTTTATAGGGGGAAGAGGGCCAGTAGGTTGGCTCAGGAGGAGCATAAATTTTTAGTTTTTTTGTATTTATCATATTAAATTTTTTTTTTAATGTATTACATATAGTTCCTACATAATACATTTTCATACATATTAATAACTATAGGTTTAGTAATATTACACTGTGTAAAATTACAAATAAATAATAATGTTAAACACTTCAACAACCTTTTTGAAAATAAAAACCTTGCAATTAATAATACCTAGTGGAACTGTGGAAGTACTAATAGTTGCAATGACCACACATAAAACTATGTTTTAACATTTTGTTATCAAGAACAAATTACCCTAAAAACATTATTTTACAAAAACGGATAGGTGCCTATAATACAAAGCAAAAATAGTTATATAATTACCGCTAAGAATAGACAGCTCTAAAGGCTTAAAAGTTAAGGCTGATCTAGTCCTGAGTTTAATTATACATAATAGCTGTTATCTACGGAAAGGTGACTAAAGTACCTATCCATACAAAAGTGAAAAAAACCTCCAGGTTCTAAGCCGAAGAGGGGCCAAGCACTATTCGACCAGAAATCAAAAACAAAGGAAAATAAAATTTTAAAAAAAAGTTCAGTTGTCCGCGTCATTTCATAACGCGATTGCGATGCGTAAGAACCAATTTCGAGTGAAAACCGCATAAGTACTTATTCTTTTAAAAGAAGTTTATTACGTGATTCGGGCATAAACGGTGCACGAAAAGATCGAGAAAAAACGGAAAAAAGCAAGAAATATTTGCGACGTACAACGGGCGGGCGGCACTGTTTTCGATCGAGTTAGCGACCGCTACAGACTTAATGAATGAAACCAGAACACGCACGAATTTAAGAATTTATGAGGAACGCGACTATAATACGCAAGGGGCCGAAAAGTAGTCAAAAGGATAAATTTATCGAAAAAAAACACAAAAATCATGATAACAGTAATAATAACAACGAAACTGAAAACGTAGCCGAGATAAAACGGTTTTCGCTCCAATTTCCCTTATTTGCTGCGTCGCGGTCGCCCCTTAGTGTAAAATACCACAGAACAATAACGAACTATTTATTAAGCGTTTTTAAAATATAAGAGAAGATTATTTTTAACATTTTGTGATGGTAACTGATTAGCACTGGGATGTGGAATGACAAACAAAACCAAAATCCAAATGACAATTTAATGATAAAAATATACTGAACTCTGAACATTAATAGTTGGTATTATATTTTGCAAAATAAATTGTTATGGAATTTATTTTTAAAAATAATTTTCCACAACATACGGAGACCGGGGCAAGTGCAAGTGCTCCATCAGCTGCACTTGCGTAAATCAGGGCCTGGTATTCCGCAATTTCCGAAATCACCTCGACCAGCCTACACGATTTTGCAGGTCGGGTCATGTCGTAGCTCGTCGAAAACACGGCAATTCGGCGGATGGTGAGCGAATCATGACTTTGGACGATGTATTCTGTAAAGCTGGTCACACACGGAGCGGATTGTCCGCGCGCTGACGCGGATTCCTTTTGGGACTGCGACCGCATCCGCGCCTTATTTACACATTACACGCGAGGTGAAATGACCGCGCGCGGACGCGGATTCGACCGCTATCATGTCCGTAACCGAGTCCGTGGTTTGCTTAAACACGAAGCGGATTGTGAATGTGGTTTTTTATATTTTAAGATATTTCGCGCCAATTTATCATGATTTGAATTTGCGCTAATCTATAACAAATGTATAACACAATCAGTTGAGCTTATTATTTTGCTTATTTGGTTTGTAAAGCATGTTTACATATTTACATATTTTATACTTATATTTTGCTTACTACCTTACTTTACACTTATATTTATTTTGTGCCTCATTTTCTAATTTCATACCATATATGAGTAAGAGTAAATTGTTTATTGTATATGCTATTCAAAAATATATAGAGGCACCTACTTGTCTTATAATATATTAAAGTACAAAAGATCCCAGGCGCGGATTCAGTAGGGGGCGGAGGGGGCGGCCGCCCCCCCCCGTAAACTGTGTTTTGTTTAGGAAAAATGCCCAGTAAAAAGATTTAAAACTAATTTTAATACGTTGAGTGCCGCAGTCGACGGGTAGTAGACAATTGTCAATTTGTATAGGCTTATTTTTGGCCTTATAATTTACTCGGTTATCAGATCAATTCTTCCGTTTATATACGTGGTTATTCAGTGAAACGTCTTCTTTTCAACGGTGGATTCGGATTTTATTTTCGTTCATTTTTAACAAGTAATCGTTATTTTTTCCCAGAAAACTGTCGATGACGGCGATCTCGACAATCATTGTATACATAAATATATTATATTTATATATTATTCTTATAATATACAGTTGTAATCTTGTAAAGTTATAGTATAGTTTTATTTCAAATACTAAATAATAATAATAAGAATTAGGTATGTTGACGTAATACGTTCAGAGCTATTCTTGGAATTAGCGATAACGATAGTCGATGGACAACGCCATAGCATTATCACGGTGCGGGCGGTACGGCAAATAGCTATCAGTAATGAACAAAACATCATCGCGTCGTGATATTTTCTTAAATATTTTTTCGTAATTTTATCTCATAATTTTTACAGTCTCGTCTAATTACCGACTTGATTTATTTATCAAGTTTTGAATATTTTTTCAATTAAGTTTACGCTTCGCCTGTATTTAATTCATATAATATTACCATGTCCAAAAGAAGTGCGGATTTCATGTTAAATTATTTAAAAAAAAATAAAAGTGACCCCAACATAAATGTGTTGGAATAGCAACAGACGTTTGTTCTGTCATGCTATCAGAAAAATGTGGAGCTGTAAATATGTTAAGAGTAAAAATGAAAAACGCAATAAAATGTTCATGTTATAGTCATGCGCTAAATTTATCGATTATGAAAGGATGTAAAATCAAATTCATAAGAAACGCTTTTGGTTTGATAAAAGAAGTTATACATTTTTTCAGTTCTTCAGCTAAAAAAAATTTTGTTTTGAAAAAAACTTTGAATTCCTCATTGCAATCTTTATGTGAAACTAGGTGGGTAGAAAAATACGATTGTATATTACAGTTCTCTTCAGGACTAGGTTCAATAATTGATGCTTTAGATGAAATATCAGACTGGGATGATATTAGCACCGCATCTAAGGCATTTTGTTTATCTAAATCAGTAACTACTCCTGAGTTTCTTTTAACGCTAAATATTGTTTCTGAAATGTTTATAATAACATCACCAATCGCTAAATTGTTACAATCTAAATGTCAAGATAAATTATCAGCTACGACATTAATTAAATCTGTAATTTCCGTTTTGAAAAAGAAGCGTTTGAACAGTGATGAATGTTTCAATAAAATATTTGAAAACACAAAACAAAAGCTAGTCAATTTAGGACTATCAGACATAAATATGCCAAGATTAACAAGCTCGATGAAAAATAGAGAAAATCCTCAAGTAGAAACAGCTGAAAAATACTATAAAATTGTCCTTTTTATTCCTTTTTTGGATGAATTATTAGCTGATTTAGAATCAAGATTTGACGAAGCTTCACTATCAGTATATGATCTTGATGTAGTCCTGCCAAATATAATTGAGAAAAAAGATATTTTTAACGATAAGACTAAAATAGAAAATAAGATTTTAAACGTGGTTAATCAATTTGGTGATGTAGTATCAAATTATTTAAATATATCTCATGATATATTTGAAAAACGCATAACTGGAGAATTAACCCTTTGGCACGAATATTGGCTCAACGAAAAGCAACTACCTGTGACTCATGTTGATGCTTTAAAACGTTGTGACTACGACTGTTTTCCTGAAATCAATATTCTATTAAATATACTTTTGACATTACCAGCGACCACTGCATCAGCAGAACGCAATTTTTCATCTCTGAGGCGGATAAAGACATGGATGAGAACAAGAATTTCGGAAGATCGATTGAATGGACTGGCTTTACTACATGCTCATCGTGATATAACAATAAACTCTGAGGATGTGATTGATGTATTTGCAAAATCTAATAGAAGACTTGATTTTGTAATTTAAATTTAGTGACTATGTACGTTTTTTATCTTTTTAATATTTATATTCATGGCTCATGTTTTAGTTTTAAGTTCACTATTTGGAATTTATCAATTGATTATAAAGTTGTATTAACCATAACTGTTTCGTGTAAGTTATTTTTGAACACAAATATGTGCGCTTGGCCACATATTATATTTTATTAGATATTTTATTTTGTATGTAAAATATTCGCCCCCCCCCCCTAATCTCGGGCTGGATCCGCGCCTGAAAGATCCACGTATAAAATTAAAATATTAATTTTATCTAAACTAATAAATATTGAACAAAATGTATTACTATATGTCTATATGTAGTAATTTTCATATATGTAATATTAAATCTTACTTTTTTCTGCCTTCTTCATGTCATCAAGGTCTTCGAAGTTTTCGAATCATCATCATGTCTTAGCTACGTTAGTCCAACCAACATGTAGCTGATCATGATGACTTTTTGCCTCTAACATAATATCATATATTAAATAAATAGATATATCTTAATAATATGTATAAGAAGAAAGATGATATTTTTATTTTTTAATCTATGTGTAATTACCAATTAATCAGAGCAAATTACTAAAATAATTATTAAACGTGAAGATACTTACGTTTATCCCATATACAGATATTTTGCTGGATCTCTAAAATAAATTGATTGGTATCGAATGGCATTTTAAACGAAAAATGTATTTGTTGTCAAATTTAATTTAGATATTAAGACGGTAGGTATAGTAGGTATCTAAAAAACGTATTCTATACCTATACGCATCAATAATAATTAATAATGGCTGGAAGCCTGGAAATCAGGAAAGTTAAAATATCAATAAAATAAAAATATGAAGTGCACACAAGTCAACTGAATATTCATAAAATATGACAAATCCGCTTGAAATAACCGCGGCGGCTATTGGAAATCCACAGTTTAATTTTAGCTAGCGGATGCGGTCGACCACCCGAAAATTGAACATGCGCGATTCCAGGCGGTCGTCCGCTGGCCATTTTATTTCGTTTGAATTAACCCATTTAAATGTAAGTGTTTTAGTGTTTAATTTTTAAAGAAAATCCGCGCCGGATAAAAACCGCGACGGCGAGTGGACGATCCGCTCCGTGTGTAACCAACTTAAGTCAAGTGCAGTGATATTAGATATGATCATTTGGAAATAGATATAATACATCGTATATATGCATATTTTTTTACATGTAGAGTGGTTGACCCATTTAAAGAGGGGGCCAAATAACTAGGGTAAACACTGGGTGTTATGCACAGACCTTTTTGTAGGGAGTATTTCTCAAGGGAATTTGACTTGTGCGAAGTCTCCATCAAAATTGTGGACTTCCTTATAACGTGTAAAGATCACTGCACCACGTTCAATTTAGTCAACTTCTGGAGTAAAAATGTAAATATGTTATGCATGTTTATGCATGTTAGTTGAACATTTAAATATGATGTTACCTTACCACTACGACTTCCAGTTACCAGTGGACGGTGTGCTCCCTGTTTAACATTTTATTTTTATCTGTTTACTGTTATTCTTTTCTGAGGTTTGGCTGTTTGGCGGCTTTTCACTTAAATTATATTCATAGTTGGAACAAATATGTCGTGGAATAAAAGGTAGAAACAACTATTTTTTGTTCCACTATTGTTATCACACTTTTGAGTACTTTGGTTCCAATCACGGTTATCTACTAATAGATAACCGTGGTTCCAATAAATATTTGTACTACTATAGTACTATCGTCAAATACTATATACGACAATACGGGACAGCTATGGTAAAAACTGGCGTCCAGTTCTTATCAGTTCCCCCCGAGATTGTAGTTATGGTTGCCGTAATTTACCCCTTAAAAATTAATGTTATATGAAAAAAAATATTTATACCAACTAGTTATTACTGCATTAGTTTCAATATATTTCCATCTTTTTTTTTCATCTACTTGATCTGGGAGTCGGTGACGAAACTGCTTTTGCATTGCATCAACCTAATAATATTTCATCCAAAAATACAAGGTTTGTTTCTTTAATTTATTCTTTATTGTAATTTTTTTTCAATAAAATTTTATAAAATTAATAAGAAAAGTATAAGAGTATAACTACATTTTATTTACATATTTCAATATTTGTACTGATAATTACTAACAAAATAAATTTAACTTTAACATAATGTTAGGTAGGCATATTAAATATGAGTAATTTTTTTTAACTTTTTATTATTTAAATATTTATATGGTACAGAAGAGTCATTGCATTTTTTTACATAACTATTTATACTGACATTTAAATACTTCTCAACAAATGTATCTTCACAGTTTTCACAAATATTTAATGTATATCTTTTACAAATAGTTTTAATTAATATTTTTTGATCTCTTTTAATATTTTCTTTTTTTATAAAAAGTAATTCTTCAATTGATGAATTGAATAATGCAGTTATATGCTTTGTAAATTCAAGTGTTTTTGTAAAAGGGTACAATAAAATACAATCATGGTATTCCTTCATATTGATTAAGGTATTATCTATGTTGAAAGAAGCACTATTCTCAGATTTATTACTGGATGCCAATTTTTCAACACAAGCCTTATGAGTTAATTGAGAACAGACCCAACCTGTTATATATGTTATACCATTTGCTGTCTCGTTATCCATAAGAATGTAGTTAATATTCATATTGCTAAGAAAATCTTCATAATTGTTGGAAAAATCAAAATCACTGTCAGCCAACTTATGCAATTGTACTTTATTCTTTACTCTTAGGTCTTTGGATAATGCTAAAAACTTTGATGCATCTTTTTGACAATTTGCATTATTAGATGGATTAATTAACATGTTGCACATAGTCATTCGAATTGCAGAAAAAAATTTTGATGCATCTGGAGTTACATTATTACCTCCTTTTGATCTTAAAATTGAAAATAAACATTCAATACAATCTTGGGTTAGACGTCTGGTTAATAAATAATCAATTTCATATTTTATGTTTAATTCATTGTATAAGAGTTTAATACAATTAATATTTTCTTGCCAACCAAGTAGGTATGCAAGGGGGGATATTTTTTCGTTTATTATTAACTTTAAGAGTTGAAAGAAATATTTGAGCTTCTTCTAAAAATGACCAATGTTTTGAATTTCTTGTTATTGGCCTTTTAAGTACAACTGATTCACTCATTTTAATACTATTAAAGCAGTCGAATAAGTCGTTAAAAAATTTAACAAATTTTGCAGTAAATGTTGATTTGTTATTCAAACGATTAAATGAAACTAATGTTAAAATTCCTGCATTAACTGAATTACTAAATGTCTGTGCAGCTAAACAAACTCTCATGGGTGAGAAGGGTGGAAGCTCTATATGAATTTTTTTTAATTTACTTGCTAATCGTGGTTTAATTTTACTATCTATATTGTAAAAGTCTTCAATATCTTTCCAACAATAACTTTCATGTCCATTTGTAAAAGTATATTTTTTTAAATTATTCCGAACAGATTTTAGTAAGTGTGGAGGATCGTGCATAAAAAATATATTTTCATTATTATAAGTGATGTAAGGTTTTTCCATGGTCACTCCAAACAATTTTCTCATTTTCATATTATTTGATCCTTGGTCACAAATTATAACCTTTGGAATCAAACCACATTCTATTAGTTTTTGAATAGTATGTATCATAATTTGTTTAAGACGATCACCCGATACAGGACCACTAGAAACAAAAAACCCTAATATTTGTTTCCATGGTAACACAAGGCTTTTAATCATTATTACTAACGCTTGATTACCATGTTTTAGTGACGACTGATTTTCAAAAATATTTGAACCATAATCTTCAAAACCAGTAAATATATCATTCTGTGTATTGTATGATATTAATTTTTTTAATGACATTTCATCCATAATTATTGAAACTAATCTTTCTTTTATTGGAGCTGTTTTAAATTTTAAACTTAAGATATTCAGAATGTTTTCATTTATACCACATGATACATCTAAGCCCTGCAACCATCTCCTCAGTGATCTAACAGCAGGTAGATTAAGGTATGATCTCATAAATTTATAGCCTACAGGCGAGTGGTAATATAGACCCAGCGCAAATGACTTTTCTGTTTCTTTGTATCGTTTTGCACTTTTTTTCAATTGACCTAACCGAAATTCAGACCTAGCTATCATGTTAGATCTTAAAAATTTATCCATTTTGGATTTTTTGTCATACTCTTCTTTTTTATTTTTTTGTTTCAGTTTTAATATTGTTTTTTTACCCTTGCATATTAATTTCTGAGCATTTCTTAACTTAACCTTCAGTTGTTGGATAATACTTTCTTGATGTTCTACAATATTTCTTGTTTTAACAGACATAGAAATTACTTCTAAAACAAAAAATGTGTGTATGTATTCATTACTCATTTATGATTAAATCATAAGATAGTTTTTTTTAAAATGGTGACATCAACAAGATGAAAAAAAACATAATAGTAAATTATTAGATAAAATCAAAAGTTGACCAAGAAAAAAAGCACTTAAACCAACATAATGCATAACATAGGTACCAATATACCATTACACAAAACCAAGATCGTGGACAAAACTAATATATAATTATATAACAATTATATTTATGTAATTATGTAACATTTATCCACAAAACATTCACAATACACATTTATAAATAATAATTTAAATGATTATTATTTTAATAGCAATTCACAAATGTCTGAGTAAATAATTTTTTTCTCTTGTAAATCTAAATTCTATTACTTATTCTTACAATTAGTAGTACATACATTTTAATACAATATTACAAAAAAATACAACACAAACCATGTCCCAGACCGGAAATGAAACATTTTATAAATATTCAAACCTGCTTTAGATTCATCCATAATATTATGTTCATCTTTTGGTAACATATTTGCTAAATTTGATGTTGATGCATCTACATCTGATCCAAAAAGTGATCGTTTTACTGGTTTCTTATGCATCTTCCATTCTTCAGTTAAAAAATTATTTTCCTCGGAAACTTTTGGGATAATGTTTTTTTTTGAACTTGTGAGTTTTTTAGGAGTTGTTAAACGATCAAATTTTTTATACATAGAAAATACTGGACTGTGTATTTGATTTTGTTTCATTCTATTTTCAAAAATATTATTGAAATTTAATTTTAAACCTAAAAAACAATTGTTTGTTATTTATAGTAGTTAGGTATAAGTAGGTATATATTTTATAATCAAATGTATCAAACCCTTACTTTTCAACAATGGTTTAGCTAAATGAGGAGATGTAACTGGTAAATTTAATGAAGGTACTACACCATATTTCAATCTAAAAAAATATTCATAAACAAAACATTTATAATATAATACTAATACTATATAGGTATGTATAACTTACAATCTTCTACTAGAACCCCTGTTTGGTACAAAATCTTCTGGGTTAAAATGGTTTGAACAAATACTATAATTTAAACTCAGATGTAAATGTCCAAAAGTTCTCATAATTTCATTTATTCTTGAATTGTTTGCAAACTTAACCCATTTTTGAGAACTGTAATTTGTAATATTATAAACAATAACAATTCTAGTGTATTATGATTTAAGAGTGATTTTTATAATAAACAGATACTTACATATGAACGTCTTTTGGAAATGAATGAAAAGACAATCTCTGTTGACCACTTAAATCATTTTTACAATGATTTATAGCGCATACTTTTTTGGACACCATTTTTAAGCAGTTAAAAGTAATACAAGTAATTACTATGCCGTTAACTTATGAATTTTGTTAATTGATAACAAATTAACAGTATACTTAATATTATATTGTAATATAGGTAGTAGGTACTAATATGAATATATTTAATATTTCGTACGATTGTACGAATGTAATATTATTGATATTCAAACTTCAAAAATGGTGGGAAGTATCATCATATTTTAAGGAGTAAAGTTAGGCAATTTAATATCAATCTCGGGGGGAATTGATAAGACCGGTCGCCATGTTTTACAGCAGTAA